GCCTCTTCTGGTGACCCAACACAACAGGAGGAACGCAACACAAGGAAGCCGAAAGGAGAAACAATATTCTAGCTCAAGTTCTGGGTCAGTCAGCACGGGGCCAGGTTAAGGAATTTAGCACTTGTAAAGCCAGAAAAGGCCAAAGCAGTAGAGGAGAACTACCTCATACAGATGGCAAGACATGGGCAGGTAAGTGGAAAGGTATCAGAGCAAGAATTGATAGAAATTCTTGAAAAAGTAAGCCAGCAAACAGAAAAGAAAATAACTGTTAAGTTCAACAGAAGAAAAGTAATCGGTTCTGACGAAGATAATAAATACTGAAATCTAATGTTTAAAGACTCATAAACTTCTTGAAAAATTCCTAGGAAAAAATAATACTTGGAAGAAGTAAAGAGCTAATTAAATGATAACTTTGCTTTCTGTATACATTTTAAGAAAGAAGGGCAAATAAAAAGGACTTGTTTATGTAAAATCACATAGATATATAGATATATAGATATAGATATAGATATAGATATCTATCTACCTTCACCCACAGATAAGTGACCAAAGGATATGAATAGGAAATTCTGAAATGAAGAAATACAAAATATTAACTACAATATGAACAAATGCTCCAAATCACTAATAATCAGAAAAATGCAATTATTAACAACTCTCAGGTTTCACCCCATATCTATCTGATTAGCAAAGATGGCAAAAGAGGAAAATAGCAATTTTTGGAGGCACTTTGGGAAAATAAGCATATTTAGTGCAACGTTGGTATTGGTCTAACCATGCTAGAAAACAATTTGGAACTACACCCAAAAAAGTCACTAAATAAAACAAAACCTTTGACCAAGAAATACTACTATATTAGGTTTATATTCCAAGAAGAGCAAGAACAGAGGGAAAGACCCAGTAGGCATTTTCTCAATCTGTGTATTTATATCTCCAATGCCTGGAATGCATTAGGTGCTTAATAAAAGCTTGTTGATTGATTGACCCAAGTATGCAGAAATATTTAAAGCACTGCTTTTAGTAGTAACAAAGAACAGCAAATATATGAGGTGCCCATCAATTGGGTATATGAATGTAATGGAACAATATTACAACATAAGAAATGAGAAATATGATCAATTCTGAGAAATTTAGGAAAACCCATACAAACTGAAACAATGTGAAATGAGCAGAAAGAGAAAAATTTACACAATGACAATAATAATATGAAAGGAAAGAATTTTGAAAGACCTCAGAACTCTGATCAAAGTAGCAAACAATAGCAACTTCAAAGCAGGATGATGAAAAATACTTCTCAATGCCTGACAAAGTAACTGGACTAGAGATACAGAATAAGATATGCATTCTCAGAAGTGGCAAGGCTGGACTATACATATTTGTTACAAGGAAGGGCTTCTGCCGGGGATGGAGGACACTGTGATGATAGATTAGTAGGTTGTGATAAATAAAATAACCAAAAAAAAAAAAACAAAAACCCTCACTTTTTAATGCACAGAAGAAAACTTAAAAGCATAGAAAGGGACACAAATAAAGTACTTTGTTGCTGTGTATATACTTCTAAAAAAAGAAACTTTACTGACAGAAGTTCCTAGTTTCTGATATGAGTCTCTCATTCTCCTTTATATGCTGAAATATTTGTTTTTGTTAATGATCAATAAGGTCACAATGAAAAAGAAACTTTTTTAACTTAAAAAAGTAAAACACACAGAAATTGTTCAAGACAACAATTTGTAGCAGTCAAAGTACTTTGTTTCCCAGTACAGTTATTTTTCAATTATTCATTTATTATGTACCTAGCATGTGCCTGGGCACACTACCTCATGTTAATATGACTTCCATACAGACAATTCAATACTAATACAAAGCAGGAGGCACACCATTTAGCATTTATTCTAAATAACAGTGTAAGTAAAACCACTTATAGTTCTAAAACTTTTCACCTCCTACTCCATTATTCTTTCAAAAAAAATATTCCTGGAAATATGAGAAATATTTCTATTTTAAATCTTTTTTTAAAAAAATACTTCTTATGGAAGCAGTGCTACACTAATAATTTTCCTGTGGAAATGAGTTTAAAGTTGCATCACAATACAGTATATAAGCACTATAAGTTACAAACACCTAAAGTTTGTGTGAGGACAAGTGGCTAGTTGTCTACTCCCTCCAACTACTTAAAAACACCTTGAGGTACAGATTATTACACAGCAACAAAGCTGTACTGAACCAACAGCACCATCTGGTGGTAGCTAATGTGAGGAACTGTCTGACCCAACATTTTTCCCCCACTAGCTCCTTTCTTCCACTCAGGCAGAAAATGTCATGGTCCACATATTTCCTATCTTCTTCAGCTCACTGCTCAACTGATTTTTTTCTCAGGTAATCTCTTTCTCACATGAACACTCACATCCTCTTTAACATCCTCCTCACCCTACTCTCCCATCTCCCTCCTGGTTAACTTGGGAAATCTTACTTCACTCTGCTGAGGCAAAAAAAAAATAATAATAATGACCCTAATCATAGGTGGTAAGCTAAGAGGAGTGTTGGTAATGTCTGACAGAAAGAAAAGGAAAGGCAGAAATAAGAAATGAAATTTGACCACCTCACTGAAATTCTTCATAATCTACACCAATCTCCATCTGTTTCCCACTAATTAAATTAGCTTTTCTTCAAAAACCAGCAATTGAGTCAAAATTTTAAGATTATTTTATAGTCTTTTCTTTTGTATTTTTAATTTATAAGTGTTGTTTATATTGTAACTGTAACAATGATGTTTGCTATTTTATTGCAAACCCACAGTATTTAAATGTGTGATGGATGGATGGAAGGATGGATGGAGGGATTTATTAGGTACTTAATATGTGCTAAGGCAAATAGGACAATTTGAGATACCAACCACAGTAACATTGCTTCTGTGGAATATATTCTCAGTGCCAAAAAACTAACTCATTTAACTTTTGCAACATAATCCATTCATTATGTCCCCCCTTCCCCCACCCCCAAGAAAAACAAATTCTGTGTACTTGTTCCTATCTATTTGGACGACCCTCACCAAACAAGGATACTAAAGTAAATGATTTGCATCCAAATAAAACTGCAACAGTCACTGTTTTTACCCCACAACCAGAACAGAATATTATCATGATTTTTTTTTTAAAGCAAGAGACTTTTTAAACCAGCGAGAGATGTCAGTTCCTACCCTAAATCTGGCATAAATTAGTTTGTGACCTTGGGCAAATCCTTTAACTTCTAAGGTTCAATTTCTTCAAATGCGTCTGGATAATCTCTAAAATCCTTTCCAGCTCTAAATCCTACGGGCCTACCACCAAATGATCTCTATGGTCTCTTAAAGCCCTAAGATTTTTTCAGTTAAGGGGCAACTCACACAAATAAATAAACCCTCAGTCAGCGACCCCCATGAGAGGCAAGATGGCAAATTGGACAAAAAGCCAGCTTCAGTAAGGAAGATTAAGGGTCAAATCTTGGCTCTGTCAAGAGGTATGACCCTGACACAACAAGTCACTTAACCTCTGTGTCCCAGGCAACAGTCCAAGACTGTTAAAATTACAGAATAGGGCTGATCTGCATTAGTAATTTCCCCCCAACGAAATCATTAACCCAATTTTTAAAAAATTCATACTCCTTATCAGGAGTCAAGATTCTATTAACCGCCTCCTTCTACCTACCTCCTCTCACCTTATTCCCTTTTTATCTAGTAAATTGTGCCGTGAAAACAACAGAAGCATGTCATAGGATCACAGAGCCTATAAAATAGGAAATGATACATATTTCTGATGAATTTCACATCCTTTCCTTCCAGGGAGGTTGGCAGACTGCACAGAATTGACTTCATGCGCTGTTACATCAGTCTAGCTTAGAAACTGGAGATCAGAGAGTTGCCTTCACGCCTTCATCTCTGCAGTGGACACCCCTTCCCCCCCAAAAAAGGAATGCGACCCCTCCATTCAAGGAGCCTTTCCCAAAAGAAAGCTGGCCCCTGCCCCCAAGCCCAGGAGAAAAACTGGGAACTAATCCCGAGCCTGGATCTTTTCAACCTCGCAGGCTTTTAATTCCCAGAGTGATTTCTATGCCGCTAAGTAGCTCGGGGAGGAACAATCAGCTCCTAGCGGCGTCTCCCCGGGGAAAGAGAGTAGCTCTGCGGGGCTGCGGGGGCCCACCAAGGTGGTCCTAGGGCCGGCGTGACCTCGCAGCGACGCCCGGAGGGGGGAGGGGAGGGCAGGGGAGGGAGCCTAAGGACGGGCGGAATAAATAGAAAGGGAATAAATACAGAGCAGTGCAACACTGGACTGGGGTAGTTTGGAAAGGAGGGAGGGTTAAGGGGAGGGCTTGTCATATAAGAGATGAGGGTGAGGGGAAATGAGAGGGAGAGGAAGGAGGGTGGAGGGAGGAGAGGAAAAAGAAGGAAGAGAAGGTGGGAGGAAGAAGGAGGAGGGGAGAAGAGAAGGGGGGAAACAGGGAGGGCGAGAAGGTGGGAGGGAGGAAAGAGGTGGAAAGACGGAGAGAGGAGAAGAGAAGGGAGGAGAGAAGGAAAGAAAAGAGGGAGGGAGAAGGTTAGGAGAGGAAAAAGATGGAAGAGAAGGTGTGGAAGAGGGGAGAGAAGAGAAGGGAGGGGGAAGGGAGGAGAGGGGGGAGGTATTCAAAGGTGGGGAGGGGAAAAGAGGGAGGGCGAGAAGGTGGGAAGGAGGAAAGAGACGGAAAGAGGGAGAAAGGAAGAGGGAGGAGAGAAGGAAAGAGAAGAGGGAGGGAGAAGGTGAGAAGGAGGAGGACTGAGCGGGGCAAGGTGGGAGAGTAAGGAGGCAGGGAGGGAACTGGAGCCCTAAGCCGGGGGGGCGGGGCCTCTAGGGAGGGGGGGGTCTAGGGGCAGGGCGGTCCCTGGCCCCGCCCCGGCTCGGCGGGCGGGGGAGGGGAGGGGCGGAAGCCCGGGGCAGGGCCTCAGGCTGGGCCTGGGGGACGGGCCGCAGGGCTGCGGCGCCGGTACTCACTGAAGTAGACGCGGTATTGGGCGGAGCGCGGGTGGCCCCGCACCTCCTTGCAGTACTGGCTCATGGCTCGCTGCGACGGTAACGGCCACGAGCGGCCGGCGCAGGCCGCGGCCCCGGCGCCCCGCAGCGGCAGCCCGGGCCTCCACGGCCCCGGCGCAGGCCGCAGCAGCCCCAGCAGCCTCAGTGCACGCATGGCCTGCGAGAAGCCACCGCCTCCTCTCTTTCCTCTTCCTCCTCTCCCCTCCCCCTCCGCCCCGCCGCGGCCACGCCCCGCGGCCCCTCCCCGGCCCTGGTGCCAAGGGGAGGCCAAGGTTTGGAGATCTGCTTTTGTCTAACGGAAACCCAGGTGCGACCTTGGGAGCCTCCACACCCCCCCCCAGCAGAAGCTTCCCCGTCAGGAAAAAGGCACCTACTATGTGCCAGCCACGTGCTAAGCACCTTTTACCAATACTAACTCATTTGAGCCTCATGACAAACCAAGTAGCTGTAGTTATGATCCCCATTTTACGGTTGAGAGAGCAAGCAAAATAGGTCTGGTGACTTGCCCAGGGTCGGATGCAATGACCTGACTGAGTTCAGATTTGAATTCAGGTCTTCCTGACTCTATTCCCAGCAGCACTAGCCACTGCACCACCTAGCCACCCCAAGGAAAGACAGACAAAAACCACACAACTGGCAGAAATTAGGTTTGGATCAACCTCCTGCTATGTACCCTGGATACATGACATAATTTATATTATATTATATCATATTATTTTAGGTTATGTTATTATATAGAAATATATAATTATGACTCAACATAAATATAAAAGGTCACCTCATAAAACACATTGGGGAGCAAAGAGGAGATTACGTTTCAGATCTATAGAGAGATGAAGAGATCACTAAACCCAAGGATCGGGCACGTGAAATGGGTAATTTTGATGGCATAAAACGAAGAGTTCAGCACAAACAAATCCAGTAGAACAAAGATTAAAAGGAAAACAATTAAATGGGGTGAGGGGGGAATCTTTAAAAAGTTTTTTCTGATAAAGGTCTATATGCATATATACCTACATTTATTTTATTTATATTTATGTATATGTGTATATTTGTATATAACCTGCAAATTTAATTTGCTACATACTTACATCGTAGAGATTGGTCAATGAAAGTCCAGCAAGGCTAACTGAACCTGCTTCTAAGAACTGGGCTTTCACTGTATAGATAAACATAATATATATGTGTTTAGAGAGAGAGATACATATATAGATATAGGATAGAGAACTGATTCCAGTTTATAAGATTAAGAGGTGTTTTCTACTAGATAAATGGTCAATGTATATAAATAGGCAGTTTTCAAAGTAATCCAAGTTATTAATAATCATATGGGGGTGCCCTAGATCACTAAAAATGAGGGAAATGCAAATTAAAGCCACTCTGAGATTCCACCATATATCATCAGACTGGCAAAGATGACAAAAGAGAAGAATGACAAATGTTAGAGAACAGGAAAACAGATTCACCAGTTGCAACGTTTGTGAGGCAATGAATTGGTCCAGTCAACTGCGAAGCAATTTGGAAGTGTGCCCAGAAAATTACTAAACTATACATACTCTTTGACCTAGCTTTGCCACTATTAGGACTATATCCAGAAGAAAAGAAAGAGGAAAAGGATCTATATGTACAAAAATATTTATAGCTGCATTTTTTTGTGGTAGCCAAACATTTAAAACAGAGGGCAAAACTATTGAGGAATGGCTAAACAAATTGTGTAAATGAATACAATGGAATGTTAATATACCATAAGAAATGGTGAAATGGACAGTTTTAGAAGGAACCGGCATGAATCTTATGAACTGACTTGAGAGTAAAGTGGATATTACTAGAACAATTTATATGATGATAACATTATAGAGAAAAACAACTTTGAAAGATCTTAGGGCAGGTGGAATCAAGATGGCAGAATGGAGCCAGAATTTGCTGAGATCTCCCAAAACAGCCTAAAAAGCACACCAAACCAAATTTTGGGCAGGAAGGACAATTAAAAATCACAATGAGGCATTTTTCCAGCTTGAGGCAGTTTAGGAAGACAAAGAAAGGTTTTCAACACTGGAGTGGGAGCTTACCAAGAGCACGGAAGTGGCTCTAGTAGTGCCGGCAGCACTGGGCTGTGATAGCAGCAGCAACAGAAAGCTGCAACACAATACTCAGGGATAGTGAGGGGCCTGAAACCTTGGTCATAAAGAGATTCCAGAGACCCCTATACTAGCATTGAGAGCAGGATCGAATGCCATCTGGAAGCTGTATCACTCACCACCCAGTTCCAGATCATAGTACCAAGGCAGAGAGAAGGGTGGCTGAGGTGGTAAGGGAGCAGGAGCTCTGCTTGGGTAAGGACCAGAGCAAACACCAGGAGAGCAGTGTAAAGACCTCTCCCTGGATCACTGCACATTGGAAGCACTAAGAACAGGCCCCCACCAAACTGTGTAGCAGCAGAAAAACACACAAAAAGCCCCCAGAAGATTAGGACAGACATCTCTCCTAGAAGTGAGCAGAGCCCAACTCTAATATGGAGTTCAAAGTCAAGAAATAGGCTGGAAAAATGAGCAAACAACAAAAAAAAGAGCCCGACTATTAAAAAACTACTATGCTGAAAGCGAAGCTCCAGACACAAACTCAGAATGATTTCAAAACATCTACAAGCAAAGAAAGCCTCAGAAATGGATTGGACAAAAGCCTGACAATAATTCCTAGAAGAGCTAAAGAAAGAGATTTTTTTTTTCATTTTTAAATGCTTTATTAATATTTTGTTATTGTTTTTAATTTATTTTTAGTTTTCAACATTCACTTTTGTGAGATTTTGTTTAAAAACAAAAAAGATTATTTTAAAAATAGAATAGGAGTAGTAGAGCAAAAATGAGGAAAAGAAATGAGAACTATATAAGAAAGTTATGTAAAGAGAACAGTTTGGTAAAGGAGGAACAAAAATTACTGAAGAAAATAACTTTTATTTTTTATATTTTTATTTGTTGTTTTTATTTTTAGTTTTCAACATTCACATCCACAATTTTTTGAGTTCCAAATTTTCTCCCCATCTCATCTCTCCCCGCACCCCAAGATGGCATGCATCTGCCCTCCCTTCTATCTCTCCCCCGTTCTCTTATCCCTTTCCCCTTCAATTTTCCTGTAGGGCAGGATAGATTTCTATACCCCATTTCCTGTATATCTTACTTCCCAGTTGCATGTGAAAACAATTTTTTTTAACTTTAGTTTTTAAAACTTTGGGTTCCAAATTTTCTCCCTTTCTCCCTCCCCACCCACCCTCATTGAGAAGGCAAGCAACTCGATACAGGTTATACATGTGTAGTCATGCAACACTTCCACAAGAAAAAAAATCAGAACTGTGTAAATAGTAAAAGAGGCATAAAACCTCCCTGAAGAAAATGACTCCTTAAAAATTAGGATTGGACAAGTGGAAGCTAATGACTGCATGAGACAATAATGTTAATTAATAGTAAAGATTAATAAATAAGCAATAAAACAAAAGAACTTAGACATTTCAATAAATTATAAAGGAAAATTGCCCAGACATCTTAGAAGTAGGGGACAAAGTAGAAATTAAAAGAATCCACTGGTCACCTCCTCAAAGAAATCTCAAAATGAAAACTCCCAGAAGTATGAGTGCCCAAATCCAGAGCTCTCAGTTCAAGGAGAAACTATTTCAAATAGCCAGAAATAATTCATATTTAGTGGAGCCACAGTCAGGATCACACAAGATTTAGCAGCTACCACTATAAAGCAGAGGGCTTGGAATATGATATTCCAAGAAGGCAAAGAGCTAGAAAAAATAATAATAAAATTCATCTGGAAGAACAAAATGTCAAGAGTATCACAGAAATCAAAGGAAAAAAACGTGAAGGAAGAGGGCCTAGCAGTACCAGGTATCACACTAAATTACAAAGTGGTAATCATCAAATATTTTGGTCCTGAATAAGAAATAGAGCTTATAATCAATGGAATAGCAAGATTCTGACAAAGGCCTGATTTTGTTGTTGTTGCTGTTCCTGTTCAGTCATTTAGTTATGTCTGACTTTTTCTGACCCCATGGACCACAGCATGCCAGGTCCTTCAATCTTCCACTATTTCTTGAAGTCTGTCCAAATTCATGTTTGTTGTTTCATACCTAAGATATGTAAGGACCTGATACAAATGTATAAGAACAGCAACTATTCTTAAACAAATAAATAGTCAAAAGATATGAAGAGACAGTTTTCAAAAGAAGAAATGAAAGCTAAGAACAGGCATTGGGGGTGGAGGGAGGGGGATGCTTGAAATCACTTACTAAGTAGACAAACGCAAATTAAAACAGCCGTGAGGTTCTTCCTCGAGTCTACCAGATTAATAAAGAGGACCAAAAAAGGAAAAGACCATTGAATTTAGTGATTAAAATGTAAAGAGGTGCCCTCTTACATCCTGAAAATGTGTCACCACTGTGCCAAGGAGATCAATGATACCTTGAGAAAGCCACATCCATGGAGTGTTGAAGTCAAAAGCGAGATCACAAGGAACTGAAAAGTTAGAAGGGAGAAAGTGAAGCAACTAGTGTGACTCAGTAGACTTTTCTAGGAGTTTGAATATGAAAGGGAGGGGAAATGTAGAATAATAATGTGAAGGAACAGTAGGGCTGGTCAACTGAAAGTTTTTAAGGATTTGGAAGACTTCGTTCGCAAATTGTCACTGAACAAAGCCTTCACCTTTCAATAAAATACAAGCCCTTGGTAGAGGGGAAGAGTCCTTTAATGCCTAACCCTAACTGTTAACCTGAAGACCATGCTAAGATTTGGAGTGAGTGATACAAGTTTGAATCAGGAAGACAGTTCATTGGATAGATCAGTGGGTCTAGAATCAGGAAGACCCAAGTTCAAATCCGGCCTCAGACACTTAATAGCGATGTGACCCTGGGAAAGTCACTTAACTTCTGTTTGCCTTAATCCACTGGAGAAGGAAATGGCCAACCGCTCCAGTATCCTTGCCAAGAAAACTCCATAGACAGTATGGTCCACTGGGTCACAAAGAGTTGGACAGGACTGAACAATACAAGCTAGCATATCTAATAAGTATTAAATTGACCAAACAAACAAAAAAGAACCTGTGCATGTTTTTTTTTTAAATTGTTTCAAAGAATGGTCTTTCTTACTGGCTAAGCTTTTA